AAAAAGTTAAAAATAATTCATATAAGTTATTTGGGAAAAATTTCCCGTTGAGATTCTTGTGGGGGGAAATCCCCATGGGGATTAATACTCAATATTCCCCAACCTCTAGGTCGGGGTCGAGGATGGACAACATCTCATTACCAACGGGGCGAGGATGGGCGAATCCCCAAGGAGTTAGATGTGGGGACCCCAATCCTCAGCCCAATCCACGTCCATCCGTACTATCATTAATGTTGCTTAAGTTAAACTTAACTAATGAAATTGTTATTATCAAGGTGCAAAAAGGATGAGAGTGACAATATCAAGTTTTTCTTCCTCTAAAGGAAATTTACTTATAAAAGGAGAGAACGCGTGAATCAACAGCGGCGCCAGGAATTTAAGTGAGAATAGACGAATTTGATCAAACAAGTGATTAAATAGTAATTTTCAACATAGTGTTATTTTCATACAATATAATTACAATCGTTTTCGACATGTTTTATGCTTTGAAGATGACATTTCAAAAGTGATAATATTACATTATCAATATTTATTTATGATGTTTTTTTTTTTTTTTTAAATTCAGGGTGGCATTTGCCCACCCTGGACTAGTGCTAGCTCCCACTGAATGGAACTATATTTCTGTACCTATATCCGCTCAATCAACACCTAATATTTTTCTATATATATATTTATATATAGAACAGCGGTACAGACTACTAACAAATTTAAATAAATAAATTTTACCAGATAATTTAATAATAATCGTGTGGCACGAAGTCTTTTAAAGTTTAGATGAGGACAAGAACCGGCTCCCTGTGTTTTTCCCCAAAAACACGGCAAGTAATGGGTTGAAATGACATTCTTTTCAAGTGTAATTATTTAAGGCTCCTATATATTATATATATATAGAGAATTACTACTAGGCTACTAGTACTCATTCTGATTTTGTGAAGAAGAGAATGGCTTCTACAGTACAGTTTCTTATTGTATTACCTCTCTTGGGTTCTCTCTTTTTCTCTTGTGTGTCCCAGAATGATTTGCCCGTAAAAGCTGCAAGTATTGGGAATGGCTTCATGAGGGATGGATGAAACCTTCTCTCTTTGATGGAATTCCCAACAAGGATCTTTGGTTAGTACAATCCTCCATTATTGTACTGTGTTCATATTGAGCCTGTTACATTACATCTGCATGTTAGCAAAAACCAGTTTCCAGTAATTTAGATCATTGAAGTGAGGAAAGGGTTAGCTTTTCTGTGTTTTTTAATATTTCCTCAGGGAAGATTCGGAGATAATCCATCTTTACTTTTTGGCTGCCGACTTTAGGTGCTTTTGCCACACAATGCATTCAATAATAAGACAAATATATATTTAATTTTGATAGTGATATATCTCAACTTGGAAAATTATTTCCACATCAATAATTGTATTGAAGATATTTCTGACTTTGTGAATATTACTTCTTATTTGATGTTTTTGAGGATGGAACACAAGTGCAATTTATGTCCACACAGCAAAAAAATATCTATCTGCAGAAAATGGAGGTGGGAAAAACTTGATTATCAACGGCAGCTCAGCATCTAGTTCAGAAACTTTCAGGGTTTGGTTCCATCACCAGGCTAGAGCTAAAGTTTATAATTTTCTCCTATTAATACCTGCTTCCTTGTGTTATTGTGCAGTGTGGGAGAATCAATGAGACATTTTTCAACTTGAGAGTGTCCAATAAGCAGTTTGTTGGATTGGAAAATGAAGGCCAGGGAAGCAAACTAGTAGCAGTTTCAACATCACCAAGTCTTCAGAGATATTTCAGATAATAAGGAAAGAAGATGATAAATCGAGTTCACCTCCAAGCATCGAATGGGCAATTTCTAACAGTACTACAAGAAAAATGAGATTAGACATGTGAATTTCTATAATGTGTATCTATAATGAATATTATGATATGTTACAACAACTAACATATGCACATGATGGAGTAGAAAATTGTTAAACGACGCACGGATGCCCTATAAGATAATGAATATGCATGTTATGGAATTTGCGCATTTTTTAAACATCAAAATCACAATGTGCTTGGCATGTTATAGTCCCTCTTTTTTTTTTTTTTTTGGTATAAAATTGTCCTGATTATTAGTTCTACAATATCAATAGGTGAAATCAGATGCAGACCTTATGCAGATGGCAATGGCTCAAGTGGGATGATGATGATCCATCTGTCTTCACCATGATAATTGGCAGTGGCTTACAAGGTGAATACCAACTACAAATGGTTAGGCCCAGATAAAGCTCCTCAAATCATGAAGGTAAGAGTTAAATAATTTAAAACACAGAATAGTATTGAAAAACGAAAAAACTTTGATTAGAAATTTAGGATTCATATTCATCTACGTTTAATTTAGGATCATTGGAACACTTACACACCGAGGAGGATTTCAATTCATGTCACAAAATGGCATCAATGCTGTTAGAATCCCAATTGGGTGGTGGATTTGTACGATCCAAATCCTCCAAAGCCTTTTGTTGGAGGCATTGGAGGCGTTGGACAATGCTTTCAAATGGAGGAGTAAGTACACACGTCAATCTCTCTAGTAACCTCCCTCTATTAAATCTCCTATGTACATACAGACAAATACACAGATATCCGCGCATGAATTTTTTTCTTAATTACTAACCGAAGTATTAACTATTTCTCCCATTTATGCAACTGAGGAAATACAAGTTAAAGGGGATTGTGGATTTGATGGGCTGCGAGTTTCCCAAAATGGTTGCTCACAGCGCATCAAGAGATGGCTTTCAGGAATGGGGTAGCTCCGACATACAGGAGACTGTGGATATCCAGATTTTCTTGCTAAAGGTCTCATGAAACTAATGTGCTTGTTCTCGCTTCGCTTCGTCGTTTCATTTTCTTTTTTCTTTGTTTCTGAAATCTAATGCATATTGTCACTGTGCAATTGCAGATAGTAACACCAAGTCTTTTGGCTATTGAGTTGATGAATGAGCCCGTTCACCTGGTACAATTTGGATGACCTTAAGAAATTTTACCAAGAGAGGTTATGATGCTGTCAGGAAATACACCAAAGATGTATGTGATCTTTTCTAATCGCTTGGGAGGTGACTTAAAGGAGCTGATCTCATTTTCAAACAGCTTCAGTCTTGTAGTCATTGACATCCATATGTACCCCTTCTGGATGGGATTCGACAACATGACTGTGCAGCAAAACATTGATTCATTTATATCGAGGTTCAGTATCAAATCTGTCTCCGACCAGGGCCCTCTAGTCTTTATTGGTAAGTTAAAGCTGAGATCCAACACTCCTGAATCGTTGTGCGAGCTAGACTCAAAACCGACAATATTTACAGTTGAATGACTCTGTTTTAGAATTTTATAACTCGACTTAGAAGAGGATTGTTATGTATTGGCGTGGGATTTGCAGGTGAATGGACAAATGAATGGGATGGAAAGAATGCATCAAAAGAGGATTACCAGAAATTTGCAAGGCAGAACTAGAAGTGTATGGGCGAGCCAGTTTTGGATGGGCATATTGGGCGATAAGTGTGACAAATTACTGGAGTCTCAAATGGATGATTGAGAACCGTTTATAATGCTATAGCTAGATCCTTCCTAGCCACACATCAAGAAGGCTGAATTTTTGGTCTTGATGTGCACTTGACATCTTTTTAGTTACATGCATATTTAATTGTTAGTTATAGTTTCTGTTATGATTATTGATTAAGTTAGCCTCTGAATTTTAAACCAGTAAAAGAAAGAAAAGTTGTACAATTTTTACTCTGTTCACTATTTACAGTTATGTTCACGAATTTTTTATTAATAGACTACCTTTCTGCTTATAAAAATAAATAAATTTGCTGTGATATTATCACTCATTATAACAGAAAAATGTATCGCAAAATTCGATTCTTAAACTCAAGCTTAATAAAGGAATTAATATTCAAAGACCCGAAAAGTCGGTGTTGCCTATAAACTTCATCGACAATTTCAACAAATTCTCTCTCTTAATTGACTAAAAACACTAGTGGAAACTGGAAATTTCCATGAATTTGCTGTACAATTGTATTCCTTGTAGAACAACTTAAAGACCGTCAATTATGCTGACAAATTTGAATAACAATACAAATCAGGACTAATTAAGCTGATGCCTGCTTCACAACATGGACAAAGATATATTGATTCTATGACAAGTTTGTTAAAGCCAATTATCAAGACTGTTACTTTAGATACAAGTAATTTCTAAGAACTCGCCCCAGTTTCGATTAAAGAATGCCGGAATTGTAGGAATCTCCGGTACATATCCGAAGTTCGTTAGCTAAATTGCTGCCGGATGTTCCAACTCTCAGGAATGAAGTTGAAGCAAGTAATCTGGGTTTTTTTTTTGGGTGGGGGGAGATAGACTTAAAGTTTGGGTGAATGAAATGCAAATTGAGTAGCTGTTGACTTACCTGCAGGGGAGCATTCGAAGTCAAGACCACCAATTATTTTGACAGAATTGAAATTAATTAACACATTCTACAAGTTGACCATTCATTGCAGCAGCCACGCCAATTACTTCCCTAAAAAGAACATTCACATTGTGAATTTCGTCTTATCTATGCTTTGTGTTAGAACAGTAAAGTTTGGGGGCTAGAGTAGACAATGGTCAAAACAGTTCCTTAATATGATAAGAGTTCCCGACTTTTAGTCCTACACGTTCAGTTGATTCGTTAAACCCTGAGGTTAACTCATAGTTGAACCATTAGACTTGTGATTTGCTTTCACAAGGTCTGCGTTTTACCTCCTCATGGGCAAATGCGAATTCAGAAATTTCATCGATGGAGGCAATAAATAAACAAAAAAAATTGTGGGGCAAAATATCGAAGTCTTATAGGAGGCAAAATGCAACTAAATATAAATATTAATACAATCTAAAGTTTTTAAAGTTTGAGTGGGGGCCATGGTCCCCACTCGTTATAAGTAAATCCGCCACTGTGGGCACTTAAATAACCAAATGTTATTTCCCCTCTCGAATATTTAGTTCGATGGCTTCTTTACTTTCAAACCCGGATTGGTAAAACAATGTCCTACATGACTCCCAAGTCCTCTATATATATCTCCCATAACTCTGTCTTCCTAAGCAAGAAAACTGAAATGGCTAAATGCAACTGTTACATAACTCTGCTCTTGCCTTTCTACCTTCTTTCTTGTGCTCCTTTTCTTTCACTTGCTCAAATTAATTTGCCACTTAAAGCTGTGAATCTGGGAAATTGGCTTATAGTAGAAGGCTGGTTGCAACCTTCTCTCTTTGATGAAATTCCCGTCAATAAAGATCTTTTGGTATAATGCAGAGCCACATTATCCAACCCTTAATGCTTTCATATTTATAAGTTTTAGTTCCTTCTTTGGACTTGTGAGAATTAGTCTATGTTTTGTTTCAGGATGGAACTCAAGTTCAACTTCTGTCTACAAAGCTGAACAAGTATCTCAGCCCAGAAAATGGGGGTGGAACCATTGTTGTAGCCAACCGAAGTTCGGCGTCTGGCTGGGAAACTTTCAGGGTCTGTCTTTGCAATCAAACATCAATAATCATCTTCCAACTCCAGTGTTTTTTTTACAGCAATTCTATGCTTGACATTATGCAGTTGTGGAGGATCACTGAGTCATCTTTCAAACTAAGAGTGTTCAACAAGCAATTTGTTGGACTGGAGAATCAAGGCCAAGGAAACACAATAGTAGCAGTTTCTACGAATCCAGAAGGAGATTCAGAAACTTTTGAGATTTTAAGGAACAGCGATAATCCGAACCGGGTTCAGTTTAAAGCCAGCAATGGACATTTTCTCCAGGTAATTCATCTTTTTCACAACTGAATTTAACTTTAAAACACATTTTTGTTCTGTTTTAAGCTATTGCTGTGCACACATTTATGTTCGTAAATTACTACTGTGGTTCGATGTTGTGAACAGGCACAGACAGAGACAGTGGTAACTGCAGATTATGATGGCTCAGGCTGGGAGGATGATAATCCATCTGTCTTCCAAATGAAGATTCTTAATGACAAATATTTAAAAGGAGAATTCCAGCTCACAAATGGTTATGGTCCAGATAAAGCCCCTCAAGTCATGCAAGTAGGAGTTCAAAATAACAATATCAACATCAAAATTATGAATAAGCAAGCAATTAAGTTGAGATAACAAAAAATGATGACCATTTGTGTGTTTTGTTTCAGAATCATTGGAACACTTACATCACCGAGGAGGATTTCAGTTTTATGTCAAATAATGGCCTGAATGCTGTCAGGATTCCTGTGGGATGGTGGATAAAGTCCGATACGCCGCCAAAGCCTTATGTTGGAGGCTCCTTGCAAGCCTTAGACAATGCTTTTACATGGGCAGAGTAAGTAGCAATCTAAGTCATTTTCCAGGCTAGTTATGATCCAAAGCAATTCTCTTTACGTTGCAGAAGACAGAAGTGATAATTTCTCTGCAAATAAATGCAGGAAATATGGAATGAAGGTAATTGTAGATTTACATGCAGTCCAAAGCTCACAAAATGGCTACGAACACAGTTCAACAAGAGATGGCTACCAGGAATGGGGAGAATCCAATGTACAAGAAACTGTGGATGTCATAGACTTCCTTGCATCAAGGTTTACTGAACACAATATTAATTCTTCATAAAAGTTCCATTGAATTTTAACTTAGAACTTGTTATTGAGCAGATATGCAAAGAATCCAAGTCTTGCAGCAATTGAGCTGATGAATGAGCCTCTTGCACCTGGTGTCAACTTAGACACCCTGAAGAAGTTTTATAGTGCAGGTTATGATGCTGTCAGGAAATACACTTCAACTGCTTATGTTATCTTTTCGAATCGCTTATCAGCCGATGCAACAGAGCTACTATCATTTGCAAGTGCATTTGATCGAGTTGTAATCGATGTTCATTACTACAACCTCTACACAGATTTGTTCACTAACATGAATGCACAACAGAACATTGATTTTATCTACAATCAAAGGTCTTCTGATCTCGGCACACTCAATTCAGACAATGGCCCTCTAACTTTTGTTGGTAAGTTAGAATCATTAGTGTATGCAGAATACACCGGTTAATTTTTGGCCATTTGTGACAATTAGCCGACACTGTTAAGCTGATAGCCTTATGATTTTGCAGGGGAATGGACTTGTGCTTGGAATGCAAATGGAGCATCAATGCAGGATTACCAGAACTTTGCCAAAGCTCAAGTCGATGTCTACGGACGCGCCACTTTTGGGTGGGCCTATTGGTCTTACAAACGTGCAGAATCAAATCCTGATACACAAAATCCTTGGAGCCTCAGGTGGATGATTGAAAATAATTATATAAACCTCAAAGGAGACTGAATTGCATAATTGCAGAATCTGCATTGCCTCCTAATTATGTATGAGCTTAGGGTGGTTTAGTGACTTCTTGCTTTAAGCCCTTAGCATTTAAGTTGTTATTTGCCTTTAGTACTTATCTTTTCTTTCTGCACTAGTGCTTGATTCTTCAGCTTTTCTTGGGTAATATTTGAAAATTAATAAACGAATCTGGGCTGCAGATTCTACCTTTGTAAGTGAGTTTGATGAACATATATGTTCAAGAATCAATGAATTTCCAAGCTTGTTATTTTGTTTCTCAAATTACAGCTACCAATTTTCACATCCCACGGGTGTACTCAGAATATATCAAAATATAGAGCGGGTTTGATCTGGCCCAAGGGCTGCGTGCTTTCAGAATTCAGACTCAAATCCATCATAATAGCCCAGTTTACACAAATTTGTTTTTCGGTTTCACGCAAGCTTCTTTCATCTAAAACTTATTTGAACAGAGATGAAGTGATTGATTGGATAATTCCAATTGTCTCCTAATAATTCATTAAAGGAATAATACCAATCTGACTATATAATTCTGAAAGGTTAATTCATTAAATAACTTATTTGAACAAGAGACAAAGTGCTCCTTGCTTGATAATTTGGTATACTGCATTTAGAAATTAAAGGAAGAATAGGAAGAAAAGGAAAAAGAGGTTTAGACCATTATTGATCTTTGAAGATTTATTTCCTTCTTTATTTTCCTTTATTCTTCAAAAATTTATTGATCTGTCCTTTCTGAAGTAACCCTTTTGCTTTCTTGTGAAAGAAATGGAAGAATCAAGCTCTCTTATCTTCTCCTTTTGCCAGCACATTTTAGTATAAATTTGTGGAAACTCTTATCCACATTGTGCCTAATTGGCCCTACCAAAATATACCATGCGTAAATGTAAACTTATTGACAATCAATTTCTTCTAGCCTTCTTGTGAGATTGATCGGATTTCCTTCTTATGACATGTTGGTTAGGCGTGTTCGCAGCTTGGCATCCTATCGTGGCGAAGACTAAGAGGTGGGTTCATCATATCAAAACGTGGATGCAGACTGATGGTTTAAAGAAATATATGTTGTGTATGAACTACTATGACTATAAATTAGCCTGATGGTAAATCATAGTTGTTAGTGTTGTATATGGTTTATATTTCTCTTAGTCTTGACTTATTATTGACTAACACTGACTCATTCGGGGGCTAAACTCAAATAGAGTAAGTTTTTATATTCTATTTTATTGTTTGACGTAGTTTCTTTATTGAAATGAACCAGGATAAACCGTGCGTCTTTTTTACTTTTTTGCTTTTATTGTTGTGTGTGTTTTGGTCATGGTTTCAACATTTAGTACAAACATAACGTTATTGGTAGCTTGGATGTCATTGTACAGCAACACTGTTGTTGTAAATTCTTGTCAATGTTTTTGAATATGGGAATAAGTGGGATCAAGGGCTGTGACATTTGATTGATAATAGCCCGAGTAAAGCACATTTTAATTTTTGGTGTGGTTGGTGGGTTTGAGTCATTAAGAGAAAAGGTGCAATTGATTTTTGATATCCTTTCCCTACATGAAGTGGGGCAAGGAACAAAAGGAAGCAAAAGCACCAACATGTTACAAATAAATCACTTGCCAATGCCTTACTTTTCTATACAATATATGTTAGAAAGGGACTGAAAATCAGTGCAAGATTCTCTCTCTTTTTACTTTACCTTTTGGTTTTGGTTCTATTACTACAATATTACTTCATTTTACGGAGATTTTTCAAGAAATCATGTACTTGAACACCTACGATTTTTTTATTTAAGGTAACTCTCGATAGTACAAGAGAAATTTATTATATAAAATAAGAAAATATGACGATTTCTTCATATTTGAGATCAGGTAACTAATTTGTTCTCATGTGCGCTATTGAATTACTCGTTGATTTTCAGGGAAAAGCATGTTGGTGGCATCAACAATTCAAGGATTACATGATTGAACATCTTTACAGAAGGGCACCGATTTTCAAATTTCTCTCAAAGCATAATGCACAGTTAATTGGAGAGATTTTCCAATGTAATTAATTTCCATCTAAAACTTGATTGAGCACTTTGTTTTGAGCCACCATTTATGCCAATAAATACAAACATTGAGAGCTATAATTGGTGTGGGAATTCTTTTAGAACTCCCAATAATGTGCTTGATGAGTGCACAAAATAATGAACTCTCTTTTGCACAACAAATATATATTTATAGATCTGTTTGTAGTGGAAGTTATTGTGTCCTTTATGAAACTATGTTAGCCCATTTCTCAATCTTATTGCTTTGGTAGGAAACATCAATTATTACACCTAAAAAATTTAATGGGATTCTCTTGCTCCCACAACCATACATTTATTTGCATGTGTGAGAGTAAAATTAAACATAAAACATACGACTACAACCGGTGATGACGAGGAAGGAGACGTCTGTCTAAATTGTAGAAATCTACGGTAAAAATATAGTTCCCCGACGGATTCTAGTACCATATCCTCGGATCTTTGCATCTTTCTCTTACATTTTTTATTTATTTTATATTTTTTGTGTGATTGGGGTTGTCTAAGCTAACTTATGTGCACCTCAACTAATTTTTTGAAGACCTAAAATTGACGATCAGGCAAGCTCCTAAATGGTCACCCTTATTAGGGCCGATGAAAACTCAAACTCAAGAGCTTATAGAACTGTCTTCTTTTACTCTTTTACCATCAGATCACCCAATGATGGTTGATATTTCTCTTAGATTTTTATACTCAGTGCTATTGGTCTATCTTATTTCATTCTTTTCAAGGATAATGTTTATTTTACATTCACTGATTAAAAAAAAAAAAAAAAAAAAAAAAGAAACTATACTATTTCTTTATATAATTTAGTCAAAAATTTCCCTTGTTCTATTGATTTTTTATCTAACAGTTGAAGATAATTTCACGAGTCACTTCAGGGGCCTCTTAAACTTAAAAATAAATGTAAAACTGTTAATTAATGACTTAATTTTTAGTTCAAGTGATAACTTACAAAAAAAAACATCAAATAAAGATCTGCTTGACTTAGAAATGTTGACTCGTTCAACAATAGTACATAAAAGTAAAGGAATATAAATTAATATAGAATTCGTATTACACTTTAAATTTAAAAAAAAAAAAATGAGTTGATGATGAAAGACTTTGATTTTGATTGAACTAATTAATCAAAGTAATTAATTAACTATGGGGAGGGGAGGAAGTAGTACTCCTGAGAAGGAGGGTGGTAAAAATAATACTTAAAATAAGATTAGTGATGAATGACCATGATAATGAAGTTACAAAAGGTTAATCACATAAAACTAATCATGCTTAGAGAAAAATTTATATTAATTAAAAAAAAAAAATAACATGTGGAAAGATGAGAAGTTACCACCTGGGAAAATGAAGTAGGGCATGATGATATTGGGAATGGGGGCATTAAATTTATTTGTACATGACGACAACACATTGCTTGATTGGTTGGTTCAGGTTTTCTAAATTGTTTACATTATTTGATTTATGCTTTATTTATTTATTTATTTTTGTAGGTTTGGCTTTTTCATTAAAAAATATATGGCATTGGGACCAACGGGGGACCCAATAATTGACATAAAGTTTACATAATAATTGGTGCAATAAGTTATTATTAATCTAAGAGCAACACTAACCTTCCAAAAAATTATACAAAAACTCAAATTCAAACCTTTAAAATTTATGGTTGTCTCTTTTTTTTTTTTTTTTTTTTTTATCTTCTTTCAATGGTTAAATTTGATTCTGTATATGGTTTTTTATATATTTTTTTGTAAGGTTAGTATTATTCTTAATTTAATAAAAATTTATTGATCAAAATGAGTCATCACTCCAAGAGAAAGAAGAAGAGAAAGAGAAAACAGGTAAACGGTTTATTATATATATATTTTGTTGTCTCAAAGATGTGTTAGCTCCAGTGAACAGCAAGATTAGCAAAAAGTTTATATTATGTTCTTTTCATTGCCATACTATGTGAATCCCTCGAATCACAAAACTTAAATGAGATTATGCATTTAATTTCATTAGTCCCTCTTTGATGTTTTTAGAAGATGTGTTTATGAGATAAGAGAAAGGCCTTGGCTGTGAAAAACCTGAGGAGATGGGCGTGTGCAGGTCAGTTGTCATAGTTTCCAACTTTCCCACAAGTATAACCTTTTGAGACTATCTCTGGAGGCCTAATACCCTATGTTCTCATATAGTTTAATTTTTGAATAAATTTCGATATAAGTTTAAAGGTTAAATTAATTAAGGCAATTAATTAGAGTAACAAAGCTAAAGAGACAAAACAGAAGTTCTATTAATGTGCATGATACATTATTAATTAATTTCAGCATTACAAAATTTACTTTAATTAGCATTTTGCTTCTCGTCATTAAAACTTTTGTCAAGCTCATCCAAGAAAGAATTTAAAAGATAGAGCATCTAATGGCAAATCAAAATTCATACGCATCTCTAACTATAGTATAATTTACTTAATTTAATTAGCTTGACTTCAACAACATACGTCTACATACATAGTTCATTTATATCTTTTGTTGGTATTACTAAGATATTCTATTAAATAAATAACAATCTATTATCTTCTATTCAATATAATGAATGTTATGTTTATATATCATAAAATAGTAGGTGTACAGGTTTGAACAAAAAACCAGCAAAACATCGAAAATTCTTTTTCAGAAAGAGTGTATGTGTATCTGTTTAATCATAATTTATCATATTAGGGTGTTTGATCCTAAAAGCTTGTTATTACTTGTGTTTTTTTCTTAATTCTTTGGTGTGACAAGTGTATTAGTCTATCGACATGATAATATTTGGAAGAAAATATAAATGATAAAATAGGAAACTGGCAAATTATGTATGTCCCATCTTTTATATTTATTGTTATGATTTATGAAGAAAGGTCCCCCCAGCATCATCATTTCTCAGTATTGAAACCTTTAGCTGATTCTGGAACTCCCCAACTGGCAAAAGCAAGCCTGAGCCCATGACTCATAATCCTATAAATTAATGAACTAGCAATTAAGTTTGTCAAAGAGTTCAGAAAAATTAATTGCAATATTCAACTCATTGAAACAATTAAATAAAAAATATTCCTTCAAAATTGAACTAAATAAAGTAAAATGATGTTGTGGGTATAATTTTGTTCCTTTTTTTTTTTTTTTGCCAATAAAGAGTGAATCTAGACAAAAATTCACCTAAAATTTGTC